CGAAATCTGTCTTGCCCACATCAAAGGACAATGACCAAAAGTGGTCCAAATGTCCACCACCAATGAGCCCTATATTGGCTTATAGTCCATTAAATAGAGATTAACTTTTAGTATGGGACGAAAAAAAAATAAGCTGTCAGTAAACAGTTATGACTGTTTGAAAAAATGTAGTAGTTTACGCGCTAATCTCAGGAACTACTGGTCCGATTGGAAAAAATCTTTTTGTTATGGATAGCCTATTTATCAAGGACTAGCTGACCCGGCGAACTTTGTTCCGCCTTAATGGCAATAAATAAGTAGACTTTTTTTTTATTTCGAACGGGATAAAAAGTATCCTATGTCCTTCTCCTGGCTCTAAACTACCTCCCTGACAATTTTCAGCTAAATCGGTTCAGCCGTTCTTGAGTTATAAGCGAAGTAACTAACACGACTTTCTTTTATATACATATATAGATGGTTTTAAAATAACATCACCCAACAACCAGTAAAGACAAATGTTGTAAAAATGGGAAACATTATTCTAACAATTCTCACGCCTACAAAGTCGTAGGCACAGCTAGTATAATATTTAACCCTATAGAGTTAGAGAGAGATAAAGTTCATCTATAACCCCGCGCCACATGCGACATGACATAACATGCGTAGATTAGTTCAAAATGGGCCATATATAGAATTATATCAAGAACATTTTTCGGATGAAAAGGTAAAAAACAGACTTTTCATTCAGTCATAACTTTTTACTGACAGAATATTTTTGATTGCGGTTTGGTTATAATGAATCAGTATTTAGTAGACTATTTTACTACATAGGTCTCGTTAGTGGTGGACATTTGGACCACACTCCATACATTTTTGGTCATTGTCCTTTAGGTCTTGCCCCGCCACTGTTTATGGGCTTGCACTTACCGTTGGGAACGTTCTGGTGCGCGCTTGAGTCGTTGTCGCTGTCACTGTCGCTGCCGGAGTCGCTGTCGCTGTTGCTCGACGAGCTGGACGAGCTGTCGTCTTGTTGCGGCTTCTGTCGGACGCAATAAAGACTATATTCGTTTATGTTTTATACAAATTATAGGCTTTGAATATAGTTTCGGACATCTCGAACGCAATAATGACTATATTCGTTTATGTTTTATACAAGCTATAGACTTTGAGTATAGTTTTGAACATCTTGGCTCTAAGGTTGACTGGAGGAGAATGCCGACTGGCATTAAGTCTGCTTTATGTACAGTGTTATGTGCGCGTGCGAGACGGACGGCGACCTGTCGGGTACCGCGCTCTTCTCCTGGTACGTCTCGCCCGTACCCATTATACGCAAATGCGTAAAAAATAAAAATAATGCCCATAAATATGGCCATTATTTTTATTTTTTGTTTAATTATCTCATAATATAACACAGGTAGCATTAAAAAAATAGGTCTTACACAAGCCTAAGAGTTATTCTTTTTTTTAGTTTATAAACAATTCTTATAAATTAAGTATAAAACATGGACTTAGAACACATGTGAGTTATAAACATTATGCGCGGCAGAAAAGTATCTCAACTCACCGGCTGCGGCGGCGGCGCGTGGCTCACAGGCGGCGGCGCGTGCGAGACAGGCGGCGGCCTGTCGGGCACCGCGCTCCTCTCCTGGTACCTCTCGCCCGTACCTATATGAGCATTATGGACACTATGCGCGTTACAAAAGTATCTC